AATATGTGAAACAAGCTTTTGAGTTGCAAAACTTTAAAAGAGATGGTCGAGTTGTATTGATGTTACGTAAAACACTAATACATAATATAATAGTAACCTGGTTACTTTAACAAACGAAATTCTGAAGAATAAGAGTCACTAATTTATATTAGTTAAATCTAACGAAATCCGTCTGATGACGCATGGTGCTTGCAGACTTTACTTTTCTAACAAATCTTTGCAGCAGACGAATATTAACCCGACGAAATGCCAGAAATTGGTGTAATTTGTGGAATTCCACACAGGCCGGTTTTTAATACGTTAAGTAGGGTGGTGAGATGTAAGGGTCGGCTTAGACTTTGAATAATCATCATATGTCTCAGTGTTCAACTTTATGAATGGTTTAATTATATTCAGTCTTACTAATCGCTCTATTATGATCATTCATAATGAACATATTATAATATTGAATGAGTTCCTGACCATATAATCAAATGACAAAACATCGCTAATTAATATTCATTTGTCACCATTAACATTTACACTTAGAGCAGGGTATATTTCCAGCTGGACAATAGCTAGCTGCACCAGCGACAAATTGAGAAGCGATCTCAGGTACTGGTCACATACTGGTCACAAACTGGTCACATACTGGTCACATACTGGTCACATACTGGTCACATACTGCACTGGTCACATACGGGTCACAGTATTTGGAAAATGTTTTGAGAAGACTATCAGCCTGATGAATGTAACGTTTCAATATAAAGGGAACGAAATTTGCTGGATTCCTATTGTCGCAATTTGTAGTTAAAATAAGATCAATGTAGGCAAATAGTTGACATATTGGGGGTCTGATCATTTTCCAGTCGGAAGATGCTCAGAATTTGAGGAGGGTTTTACAAGTTTTCCTGTGCTGTAACTTTTTGTGCCGTCACGAAAAAAGTTTATTTTATTTTTTGTAAGTTTTATTAACGACAGATATCATGAGATTACGCGTACACATTTGATATGTTGCACGTATACACTTTTTAATGTGTAGCCATGTGAACTAGAAGCCAGGACATCTTTAAAAAATACGAAGTCTCATAATATCACTATAGCAATGTGTCAGACTTAACTAGTATCTTAGTAATATAAAATGTTGTTAAAATTAGTGAAGGTAAATCAATACAGACTCGAGGCCAACAATTCAGAATTAGTAAAAACATACTAATGAATGAATTGTAATATTTGATCGAGAAGAAACTAGAACGGACAATGTGACAAGCGTTATCCTCAGTGTAAAACTAATCGTTATTTGACTTTCTCAATAGTTTATTGTTCTACGTCCTATCTCCTCGGTACATTTAGAATTTATAAACGAACCTAATGGCTTACTCTTGATTATGTGTTGAGTATTGACTAATTGCAATCTCATTAATTATTGTTGATTTCATGATTATTTTAGCAGAGAACACAGGTTTATTATCAATTTTTGTGTAGGCCTAAGACATAAAAATTGATTTTAAAAATAATTTAATCAAAGCTTAACTTGAGGAGTCTATGCTTTGCTAGCAGTCGATAAGGACACCGTAAACTATACCAGTAAAGAAATTCCTCGTCTTGAAGAAGGCGGTCAATTATTATGCTATAGAAATTATGTAACAAATATAAATTATGTAACAAAGATAAATTAGATAAATTCTATAATTTATCTAAATTATTTTCCAATAGAGGTGCGCTTACTTATATAATAGGCAATTATAACATAATATAAGACATTATAATATAACAATAGTGTGTAATCTTGTCCAGAGAGACGTTCACATATCTAAAAGTCTAAAGCAACTAAACTGGAGACGATATTTGAGTAGTAATAAAGATGACCCGAGAAGCTGAATATCTAACAGCACTTTAACTTAGACGGGGTTATTGGAGATATTATATCCAATATCGGGCATACAATCTAAAGAAAGCAGGGGATCATGAAATATTATGCACTAGATCTCGATAAAATAGGCAATAAAACCAGAAACTAACAGGACGGTAAAATGCTGGGGTTCATTCTGGCCCCTCTAACACAATGCTATTGTTCATCCAGTAAGTATGATGTGTCTCGGAGCTAAGTACGAGCCAATAACAGGGCAACTTCCCCTCTCTTGACCAATCAGAGACCCGGAAACAAGTCACGTGTTAGTCACGTGGTATAATGGTCAGATAATGAGGACGGTAAGTGATAAAGTTGTCATGCTGTAATCGAGTGTGGGGGCTACGATCTCCTGGATCTCAAGGATCTAGTTAGGTGAGGGTGCTGGGTTCTGACAGGGTACCGGGGCTGATTGTCATAAACTGTAGGGACTGTAACAAAGTAATGATACTGATAGCAGGGGTGAAGTAACACTGTAACACTGTAACACTGTAACACTGTAACACTGTAACACTGTACCACTGTAACACTGTAACACTGTAACACTGTAACACTGTAACACTGTAACACTGTAACACTGTAACACTGTAACACTGTAACACTGTAACAAGCTAGTAGATAGGATACTTAAACAGCACATAACATTAAATATAATAGTTACAGCTTGTAGGAGAGAGGATAATTAAGTGATAAATATATGGATCACGTGATGCATCATAAGATAATATGTTTCTATGGTCGATGAAATGAATGCGTATTATGATATGGGGTGGATAAAGATATGCAAAGTTAATTAATTATTGTTTTTAAAGTCGTTTCTGGTTACTTTTGCACAGGAAGTCTTCCTTAGTATCGGAGTAAGAACTGAGAACATACTTCGGAAATTTGTACGTGACGAACAATAATTTAATCTTAAACAAATCTATTAATAGATTGAATACAATACCTGGGGATGAACTTGATTAAAGCAAGATTTTACAATCCGAAAACACTTTGACATTGTAGCACCCCACCGATCAACCAAGCAGAGTTATCAACCAAAATACAAGAAAAGCCAGACTAAAGAACACTCTCCAGTACAACAAATGATTCACTTTTTAGAAGGGAATATGATTTTAACCTCATTGCCGGTACATGGTTCTGAGAAGGATTTTAATCAGAATCACATTGTTCTGAAGACTTCAGTAACACCCCCACACTAATGAACAGCAACATCACACTGCTCACTTAACGAGAAATTCTCTCAGGGTTAGGTTCCGTGTTAGATTGTCTGGCTGCCATGTCCCTTTATTTAATTGAGTGATAATTCATTATTAATTCAGCACCACGTACTGTGAAGAGTGATAATAGGTGTGAACATTATTAGGCTCCAGCTATTTGATTCTGTTGTTAATGTGGTTAATATTTCTAAATAATTATTCTGCTATTTAAAACTCGTGTTAGTTAATTAGTGATATAAATTAATGTTAAATAGTCTTCGGTGCTGTGAACACGTTTTCCTGGTCGAATATTTTAACTCTATTCGTCTTGTTTTTTGGTAGCTTCAATTTTAACGTTTTTAAGGAAAATTAACCAGGTCAGTGTGTAACGAAAACTATTCAAGGAATAGTCAAACTTTTCAAGAGCATACATATTTATTATCTCACTGGATCTCATCTTTCCAACCCCAAGCCACACAAATATAGAAATATCACAATCTATAATTAATCATTTGTTGACTGTGACAGCATCACGTGACCAACAAATCCGTGATCCTTGAGATAAAAGCTACTTTTATTGTTTAACATAATAAGCATCTGGCTGCTTGTGGAGTTGCGATCATATCAGCTACTTGTAATGAATATCTTGTGAGGTCTGAGCAGGGAGAGTTTTCAATTAATTATATCGCAGGATACAGCTTATCAGTCCAACCGATAATATAAATAATGTGCTGCAAAGTAACCGTATTTTCTGGTTTAAGAAATGTGGTATTATAAGGGAATAGTGGGCGTAAGAGTGGGCGTAGTGTAATTGTCGGTGTTTTGCTGTCGTAATACCCAAACACTGACAGTTAGTCAGAAGAGAGCACTGATTGACTGATTGCTAGTCAACTTGTTACAGAGCCCTCTGGCCTCTGTGTTGTGATACTTAAGAAGCAATTACTCGGCAATGAGGCAGATTACATCTGGTTTTAAACTAAATAATTGTTAATTACAGCTGCTTTTATCAACAATTATTAATATAAGGGAGGATACAGATTATCTGGTTTTAAGCTAAAACTAACTACAGTGAAGTTTTGATATTTAGTTATAATTTGTTTTAGGGAAAGATTAGGCTTGGTTCGTTGTTTTTAACTATCCGTTGTTTTAAACTTTTGTTCAATAATAATTGTTGATTACAGCTTCTCTCATAAAAAATCACAGCTATTTTTAGAAAATTTAGAGCAATATGTTTATAATATCAACTCTATAATATTGACTCTTTAAGATCTTACATAACCCTTTGTGCAATCATTAAGAAGATCAAGTTTAATACAGGACACACCTTTTCTAAGTATATTTACTGTATCAGATAAGCCTATTTGATTAACCTGACAAGGAAAATAAAGAATAAATCAATAAAAGTTATATTTTGCAACTGAGAATAATTTGTATGGAGCCGGTAACTTCTCAGAACTTCTTGGGCGGTCATCACTTAAATACTGCTAAGCTTGCAGCTTGATATATTAAAATATAAGCTCAGTAAGTAACTTGTGGAGAAAAACCTTTCATACACGTGCTTCCTAATGAATTACTAAAGAGCAATTAATTGGTCGACTGCAGGTTCTTATTAAAAATGGCAGTAGTATAAATTTGGTAGATGATTCATGATTGTTTACTTGATAAGACAGATAAGTATTTGAACTGAGTTTATGAAAGGTAACATATTTTTTGTGAGCTATTTTTTTCGGCGTTGACGCCGAATATTTGCCCTTATTACTCCTAACTTCCTTGTTTCACTTGTCCTTGTCTCTTCCAACCGGATATCATACAACTATCAGTATTGTTTAATTTAGTTCCGTTTAAATATAACTGTAAAAACACATTAAAATATTACTGTAGGTAAAGTGTGTTAAATTAGAATAGAAACTTACCCCTTTCACTCCAGGAGGCAACCCAGGATAGAAATCAATCGCTTCCATGAATCTAGAGAGAGAAAATGTTTAGAAAAAGACGGAAAATCTAGTATGATTTCATTTTTGGCAAAAACACCTGACAATTTCAGAAAATCTTACAAAACGTAGCAAGTAATCGGGAAAAGGGGATTTGAAAATAGGAACGCTAAAAGACAACACATAGCAGCCATTCCAATAGTAGGTATAACACATGTGGAAACACTGAAGTAAATTGCTTATTAGTAAGAATAAATGGGCATCAGAATTATAAAAAGGGAGTGGTTGAGAGGAAGAAAACCTTTGCAACCAAAATACTTAGTGACAAAGAAACGTCAAACTGCATTATGTATACATAATGTATATACAATGAAAAATCATCACATCATATCAGAAGATAGTCAAGACAATGCTTCTCCCATACCTTTTTTTGGTAGGATCAATACCTACTGCTCTTACTGAGCCATTATCTACATCTTTAGGTATATCTGAACCTTTATTCACAGGGTCAGGAAGATCAACAGCTTTAGGTATATCTGAACCTTTACTCACAGGGTCAGGAGGATTAACAGCTTTCTTTCTGTTAGCTGTCGGTGTGAGACAGCAAAACATACGCATGGTCAAACAGCTAGTGTAGAGTGCATGATGTTAGAACATAATGCCTTATAGTCAATGATCAGTCAATGCTCGATTGGCCTTTTGTTACAAGTCCCGGGGCGAACATAATAATTAAAAAATATGCTGTTCCAGATCAACCCAGGGGTGAGCAGTTTAGAAATTAGTGATTGCAGGCAAAGATAGCCGTTATTTGGAGCAGTCAATCGGCTGCCCTTATATTCATTTTGTCTTGGCTGACCAATCTTAATTTGAAGGGATCGATTATTTCACCCAATTATGAAAGAGAGGGTTTGGAAAACCTTATGCTATAGTGTAATTTTTAAAGAATATTCATGTCTTAATTGGCTAAAGGAGGGGATTGGGTCTAATATAACCTGAGAGTATATGATGATGATGAAAATCTAAAATTATAGGCTACAATGAGCATTTTAGTAACAAATAGTATGATAGATCTGAAATTTAAAAAATAAATAAAATCCCTAAAAATATTTACACCCCAAGTTAAAAATATAAATACTTTATTTTAAAAACACTATCAAATAAGGTGGTTGATCAGTCACTTGTGTCATTACGACGACGTCGTTATATCAAGTTAAAATATTCCCCAAATTAATTTAAAGACGATTCCCGATCGAAAAACGTTTTGGTAGAAAAAGTTTCTCAAGTTACATAAATATCATTGGAAATGCAATTTTATGGATAAAATCAATAAAGCTTACAAGTAAATCCCAAAACAAAGTAACACACCCAACAATGGTTGAGATGTGATACATCCAAGCAGTCTAAGTCGACAATAATATCATAAGCTAATCTAAAACTAGCTCCAATGTTCATGTAACCAGACAGGTTCTACCAATCCAAAGAGTTAAGTAGGTTTCCATTCAGTCAGTAGTAAACAGTGTCTAGCACTGGTCGTCCTAAGAGGGACTCCCCATTTATTACAGGCCTGGGTAAGGCCGCGTACATACCAATGGATAGAGCATTGGCCGTCTAATATAGGGACTAGACTCCCCAGCTAGGCGTGGGTGGGCCCTGTAGAAATACAGATCTTCCTTCTTAGCTTGAGGTCATCATTGTTCACACATTCACTGCAGATTTGGATGAATTTTGGATCTCTGGAGCAGTTTAGGATAGCCAAGTGTGGAGTACCCAGATCTTCCAGACTGGAGACCTCGTTACCAACACTGAGAAGATATGAGGCTTGGTCCCTAAGGTCTTCGTCAACATGACCACAGCTAGTCAGTATATGAATTGAAGTTTGTTCTTCATGACCACAGGAGCAATAGGGAGAAGACCATTTCAGTCTGTCAAGGCTATATAGAAATGAGTTTAGAAGATTGTTTTTGTAAAACAAGCTCATGACTAGAACCTCAATTTCTCTGCTGGTATAACGAGGGAACTTCAGGGGGGTGGTAGACACCATGGGAATTTGAGACCAGCCCTCCATTTGTAACTGGTTCTTAATAAATTCCTGCCATACGAATTCAGTGAATTGTTTGATAGAGGCCTTGGTGTAATGACAGGCTTTCCTAGAGAGCTCGAACAATTTCGAGGCATCATTTAGTCCAATTATTTTTGCATCACCTGGTAGGACAGAGTCAGCATATACTTCCACCTTCCATTTTAGAAATTTCAGCACATCCCGCATCTGGCCCAGAATTTTTGTGTTTCCCGATTCTATCTCTCTGCATATGAAGTCATGGTGTACATCGATATGTATACTACTGAATACCTTCAGGTAGTGCTTCACCGATAGTATTCTGTTTGTAACCCGGAGTGGGGGTATTCCCAAGATGACTTCTAGTATGGCATTTTGAACATTGAAGACTGCTCCCACAGCAGATTTTGCTACCTTGTACCAAAGTTTGTTCAGTTCCAGCATGTTGGCATTAGTTTGCCAGATAAACGAGCCATAGAAGAGGGAGGAAAACATCACAGTTTTGGCCAGCCTCACTAGGACCTTTTGGTTCATCCCCCAATTACGATTTGTATACCTGCTCAGACAAACCCAACGGTAGATTAGCTTGTTGTATACATCCTGGCTGTGCTGCTTGAAGCTCAACTTACTGTCAAGTGTTATACCAAGTACTTTGCTGCTGTCTGTGAGATAGATGGTGTTTCCACATAGATCAAAGGATTTGGGAACAGCTGAAGCATCTTGGCATTGGAAACATATAACTTCTGTTTTATTCACATTACAGTTTATGACCATCCTCCATTGAGAAGTCCATTCCCCTATGAATCCCATCGCAAGCTCTAGGTAGAAGAGACATTCTTCAAGATCGTTTCCAGTCACTTTGATGGTTCCATCATCCGCAAATTTGAAGGCCTGAATCTGCTCATACAGTTGACACAGGGTCTCCATGTCGAACACATAAAATTTGAAAAGGATTGGTGATAGAACAGAGCCTTGTGGCAGCCCATAATCGAGGCACATCCTGACAGGACCAATAAAACCATTTAGGAGGAGGCTTACCGTCCTCCCAAAGAGGAAACTATCAATTGTCCTTAGGTAGCATCCATGCACACCAACCTTCCATAGTTTCACTATCAGGCCTTGTTTCCACACCGAGTCAAATGCTTTTTGAGAGTATAGAGATAAGCTAAATCGACGTATTTGTGTATGCTAATTCCGAATCACCCCTGACATAGAGTAAAAATCCTTCCCCAAGGAGTTATGAACAAAATAACTATTTTGTCAGACATGCGCATGTGACAGGGTTATAAAACTGTTAAGTTCGAGTGTTTAGGTATTATGGTTATGGTTAGTGTTGAGGTTATAGTAGTGATTAAGATAAAAGTTAGCATCTAAGAACAAATGTGTGTACCTAAACTTTTGATACTTACCGTAAAAAACGAAATAATAAAGTTTATAAACTATGTCTATATAAAAAAAGGGGGACCCCAACCTATGTAGCTGAGACACCTCATAGCAAGTAGACCAAAGTGGCTCTTGCTTGTGAAAGTATCAACTACCCGCCAAAGCGGTGGGTTGGGAGTCCCTCCTGGGATCATTTCCTGGGTGTTGGTCTTCCTGGAGAATGAAGTTGGTTGGACAGGCAGGAGTGAGGAGTGCAGATTCTATCCTTACATGATCCTTACACTTTGCTTCTTGAAGGAAGAAAACTGCAGTATCTCTTTTGTCATTATTTATAAACTAAGTGGGTTTTTCAGGATTTAGCATTCAGGATTTTAGAAGGTATTTAGCCTCGCATACACTCTTCTTCGCCCAGCTGCTCTCTGCCCGGTAGTCTGGGTATGTATGTGGGTAGCTAATTCATCGATCAGATGATGGGTCGGGCATCGTTTATGATTAACGATGGCTCAGAAAACTAAAAAGTGCCCCGTCGGGACTCGGGTAGCAGTTATTAAATTTAGCACAGTGTAGCCATTCATTATTTCATATTTAATATCGTGTTGTGATCTGAAATCTTGGAACGTTTTTAATGTTATTAAGCTTCCTAGTCTCTTGCTTGGTTTCTTGTAACGCGATGCACTACTGGGTCGCGCTGCGCATTGAATAATGTTTCTCGCATTCTGTAGATCGGCGAGATGCCACCGGCTGCACGCTAATAAGGCCCAAGCTGCGAAGGATTGACACCATCAATCAATTCGGTTTGTTACTTAACGGGTGATACTCGTGAAATATTTGTTCCATATTTTGACCATCGACGAGTCCAACTCGGCGCGCGTCCTGGTAGGTTTAAACAGTCCTCTTTGGAACAAACATTTTATGAGTATCACCCGTCTAGCGAAGTTGCTAGGCGCGGCCCAGCAACGCATCGCGCTACAACTCCTTTTTGGTTACCTGGGGACCTTAGGCTATTATATTTATGCATATGTTTATTATATAATCTATACCGAATAGAGATTATGCAGAATGACAGGCTGAGCGTTGCTCTATCCAGAGCCCTTTCGCTTGCAGTAGCGTGCCCACTGCCCCGCCTCTTTTGTGAAACATGCGCGCCCGCAGTAAAGCGAAAGCACATGGTTAGGTGAAGGCTGAGCGCGCGCGGCCAAGTAACTTTTTTGAAACTTTACGTTTATCATTTGTTATATATAATGTTCTAACCCAGCGCGCTATATTTTGCAATGCAACATTGTGCATGCAAGCACAAAACATGACCTCGCACTTAATTTGGCCGGCGCTTTCTAAGAAAAGTCGATCGCTACTTTTATTTACACTTCCCAGCAGACCTTACTGGCTGGCAATATTACTATACATGTGATCACCTCTTCACAGCTTGTTGAACTCCGCGCGCGCTCGTTAGCGAATTGCATTTGCACGCTTCAATTGTTCCAAGAATGCAATTACCATGCATCACGTACCACGTGATACGATTCAGTTGTATGTTTAATGGTTTATAACCTACCAGGACGCGCGCCGAGTTGGAACCGATATTTTCCAAGTATCACCCGTTAACGATTCAGCCAATCATTGACCATTGTTAATGGTTTGGCTCGGCGCGCTACTTCGAAGAAATTTAGACGAGTAACATCGGAACATCCGTCAAAGCCAATCAGATAACAAAAATCCGCAAAGTTAAAGCTGCGCAGTTTTATAAGGCCTAAAATATGACTTTTCAAGATAATTCAAAATCTACCTTGTTTTGAATTTTCCTCCTTGTTTTGAATTTTCCTAGGGGAGGAAACGTTATTTTACAAGGCGAACATTTTGTTTAAAACCAAACGTTTCTATCTCTTTTACTTCCGAAGTTAGGCCCCTAACAATAAGGTTTTCCTGGCGGTTTGACATGTGCAGTGCACGGTCAATTCAACTAGCTTCCCTATTATAGTTGTTATATAGTTAATTGCTAGTTTTTACCTTTTACGCCACGTCCAATCCTGGATAGATCCAAATGCGATAAGCTCGAAAAAGCGCCGTGCATATTGTTTATAACGGGTAATATTCGTAAAATATTTGTTTCCAACCGTCTACGAGTCCAACTCGTTAACGGGTGATACTTGTAAAATATTTGTTCCAACCGTCGACGAGTCCAACTAACTCGG